CTGTCTTCTGGATTGTTGTGCTGTGTAGTCTGGTCGATGTTAACCAACGTTTCAGAGGTCATACTGCCTCCGTCATCAGGGCGATGAAGATTTCTGTCCTCTGGGTTGTTGCGCTGTGTAGTCTGGTTGATGTTAGCCAACGTTTCAGAGGTCATACTGCCTCCGTCATCAGGGCGATTCATCGCAACAACCCAGAAGACGGAATCTTCTATCGCCCTGATGACGGAGGCAGTATGACCTCTGAAACGTTGGTAAACATCGACCAGACTACACAGCGCAACAACCCAGAAGACAGAACTCTTCTAATACCGGATAGTACCTTAAATTACTCCATGAAAGATTCCTTTATAATTTATTGTTCATTAATTATCACCCGACGTTGTGTAAGTTCGAACAACTGACAGCGTAAATAAGACGCAAATAATAATAATAAAAAAAATGTCGTTCGAGGATTAGACCTCTGTCCTTATCTTCTATTTTTAATTTTAATTATAATTTTAAAGCCACGTCACCTTCTTTCAGCGGATGCAAATTACGTTTCGCTGTACGTGTTTCTGCGTTATGTTTTCTTCACTGCAAACTCTGGAGACGGTATCGATTCAGTCTTAAGGAAATAGTCCTGCATCTGGAGTGTGAAATCCAGTGGGAGTATGATAGTATCTGGGCTGCACTCTCCCACCACACTGTCCATTAATTCCTTCCTTCTGTGAATATATCAGTGAGCAGAGTTCCTGAGAAGCTGAGAATCGCTCGGATAGACGAGAAATTGCATTCCTTTTATGAAATTCCAAGGTTCATTACTGTCTTCGCAAGAATTAGCAACTGGCTCCTATCTCGATCTTGATCACTCTAATCAACACCGTCACATCCCGATTCTTAATAAACCATATGATGTTACTCTCCCATCTACACTTAGGTCTTCCAAAGTGTCTCTTTCCTTTAGGTTCTCTGACTGGAATTTTGTGTACATTACTCAGCTCTCACATGCGTGATACATTCCTCGCCTGTGTCATATTCCTTGATTTGATCATCTTGACAGTGGTCTGTGTAGAGAGAAAAAATTATAAATTGTTGCAGTCTGGGATTTTATCCGTTTTAAAATTTCGTATCTAGAGAAATGTCTCTTTTTGACAGAGAAATTTTAGAATTC